TTTAAAAACAAATATTTACCAAAGATATTGCCTGTATAAAACCATTGAGCATGCTGAGAGTATTCTGTTGATCACAGAGGTGCCAGTAATGAAATTGTTAACGTTTAAAATTTGGTAGTGTTGGGTGTAGCACAGTGATAGGGAATGTACTTTGCATGTGTAAGGTACTGGGTTCAATCCTCAGCACCAAAAAGAATAAAAATAAAATTTGTTTTATTTCAGGAAAAATATATAATGTTTACATAAAGATCTCGTTTTGTGGCTAAAATTAATCCCATACTTGACTGAAAGATTGATTAAAACCAGTATTTCTTAGCCAGGCATGGAGGCGTACACCTTTAATCCTAGCACCTGGAAGGATGGGGCAAGAGGACCGCTGAGCCTGAGGCCAGCCTGGGCTACATAGTGAGACTTTGTCTCACAAGAAAATAAATAAAAACAGTATTACTACTAAGAGTCAGCGCCATTTGTATCCACTTGAAGTTTTCTAGGTTCCATTGCGTACGTATTTAGGGTTTTGAAGAATGAGCAAAAAGTAACAAAGTGTGACACTAAATGTAAGTCCATTAGCAGGGTTCATGTGGAAAGAGCGGAGGAAGACAGAAACAAAAGGACACAGATACAAAATATTTTATTAGGGAAGGTGTCAAATATTCACAAAATTTTTATGTGACTATGAAAAACTCCCTACGTACCCATAGCTCAGTAACTATAAACATATGATCAATTTTATTTGTTGCCCCCAAGATTATTTTAAAACAAATCACAGACATCATTTTATCTCTAAATACTTTGAATAAGCCGGGCGTGGTGGCGCACACCTGTAATCGCAGCACTTGGGAGGCTGAGGCAGGAGGATCGTTGGTGAGTTTGAGACCAACCTGGGCTCCAAAGTGAGCTCAAGGCCAGCCTCAACCGCGTAGAGAGATCCTGTCTCAAAAAGACCAAAAAAAAAAAAAAAAGAAGAAGAAGACCATAAAACACTTCTGTATGAGTCTCAAAGAAAGACTTAAATAACCCTAAGTACAATTACAAAGGCTAACGTCTTTCCTTTCTGAGTCAGGTCTCACTGCGAGCTTGGAGCGACCTGGAACACCCGGCGTGCCCCGGGGCGGCCCTGAAGCAGTAAACACTGCCACGCGTCTGTCCCGGCTTTGCCTTCGCTTTGGACAACACACAAGGCGGAGGCCCCCGGCGCGCACGGAAGCTGTCCGCGGGAGCCCGCCGCCCCACCCCGCC